GTCAGCTTGGAGTGGATAGAGTTGGACCCGAATCGGGAATCCGGTGGTGCATAGTTATTTATAGCTCATATGGGTCGAGTGATGGATGTGATTTGGAGCAGTGTTGCATCATGGGTGGTACTCAGTTGTTATGTGTGGTTATCAGAGGGTAAAGCCGGTGGCCAGCTTATGATGGTGGTTAGGACACTACGAGCAAGGAGAAAGTGAGTTTATGGTTTCCATGGTTGTGCTTTGAGGAGCCTGGTTGGGTTAATGCCAGGAGTTGTAATGCGAGAGAATTTATAGAGCTGAGTTATCGCAGGCTTCGAGGTCGAAGCCTAATTTAAGTGGGGGAGAATTGTAACATCCCGGAAAATCAAGAGTAGAGTTGAAGGGATAAAAGTGTAAATTTGTAGGGCAACTCGGTGAGTCCATTGGTGAACTCGGCGAGTATGGTCGCGTGTTAAGTCGCCAACTCGGCGAGTCGGCGGCTGGACTCAGCGAGTTGGTGCTGAGTGGAGAAAACCATAATTTCGGAGGATGAGCCCTATATAAAGGACATTATGCCCTCTTCCTAGTCTCCTTACCTTCCCTTGAGACCAGAAAACCCTAGAAAACGTGAGTGTGAAGGATTGGAGTGCATTTGAACCTTGGAAAAGAGATTTGAAGGAAGATCTTGGAGAGTTAGGAGGCTTGGAGCAAGGGGCTTTTCTTGGATTCATATTTTATTACTGTTGGGGCTTCCTTTTGAGGTATAATCTCGTTCTTGGGCTGTTATTCTTCTAGATTCATGATTCTTGGAATGTATGGGAGGCTTAGCTTGTGGTATCTTGAGTTTGAAGAATAGATCTGAGGTTGCTACCTCAGATCTGGAGTGGAGAAGGTCTTAAGTGCATTAAAGTCCCTGTTCTTGAGTGATTGGTGAAGCCATCATATCCCAAACCCTAGCCCTAGAGGGTACAATGTCTAGATCTCTTTGGATTCATGTAAAGTTTGCCACTTTACGTGATGGATGGCCTTAGGAGGGGTAGATCTATGGTTTCGATCATCTGCATGGCTTGGAAAGCCTCTGTATGGATTCAGATCCGGTGGTACTCGGCGAGTCACATGGGTGGACTCGGCGAGTTGGATGAAGATGGCCTGGAACTCGGCGAGTTGGAAGAACAACTCGGCGAGTAGGTTGAAGATAGTCATAGACTCGGCGAGTCTGGTCGTAGGGTCCAAGTTTCTTTTGGGAAGGCTGTGACTCGGTGAGTCAAGGGATGACTCGGCGAGTTAAGTCGCGAATTGAAGGAGGTTCTGTGTATGGGGACTCAGCGAGTCATCGGGTTGACTCGATGAGTAGAGTCAGTCAGGGGTAGACTTTGACTTTGACTTTGACCAAGGGTTGACCAGTTGACTTCCAGGGGTAATTTGGTAATTATTGGTATTTATTGGACTCAGTCTTTTGGGTATTGATAGTGTTGGAGTTCGGGTCGGAGGTTGCAGCAACGTGATCTTATCCTTTTAGTTAGCAGTTGCGAGGTGAGTTATCCTCACTATATCGACATGGTCTAAGGCACCAAGGCCGACCCTTTATTGGATTGAGATTCGGATATGGTTGTTGTGTTATTGCTTTGATATGTCTGCATCCTGGTGGCTAGGATGGTATATGCTAGAGACTTGGTTAAGGTCGATTTCCTGATATGTGGAGTGATGCTATGCTAGTGACCGGTTAGGTCGGTATCCCGGTTAGGGTAATGATATGTTATGTGATCTGTTTGATCGGTTTGTGGACTATGAACTGTTATATGATTGTATGTTATGTGCACATGGTTGTTTGGACTGGAGTTGGGTTGAGGCGGGTCCTTCTTTGTGCTGTAGGCCAAGATACCCAGGGCGGACCGGTTGTTCCGAAGGCCCAGCGAGAGGTTCGGATAAGCTGTAGGCCCCGCGAGGGCGGACCAGACTTGTCGAGGCTCGGAGAGTGGACCAGGTGGGTTGAAGGCCCGATGCGGGCGGACCAACCACACTGCAGACTCGAGGGACATGACTGGACTCGGAGGGTGGACCAGGTGGACTGAAGGCCCGACACGGCGGACCAGTCCCACAGTAGACCTGATATGCATAACTGTTCTGCGATTCGTTATGATATAGCATGTTATGTGTATGGTATATGTGGTTGGTATTTTGGGGGTATCTCACTAAGCTTTCGGGCTTACAGTTGTGGTTTAATGTTTTTCAGGTTCTTCAGGAGACTGTGGCAAGGCAAAGGCGTGATCGTACCGCTCCTCGCGTTTATGTTTTATGATATGGACCTAGGAATGCTCTGATAATAAATGTATTGAAAACCTTTTTGTAATAACTTAATGAATTGGCATGTTTTTGAAAAGTTTAAATTTTGTTGAAATTTTGGTCGTTACATGCTTGTTCACCGCTGTCGTTGAAAAAAGCTTTACCCTTTTGTGCTAACTCTTCTTCAAGCTCATCGAAGAGTTTATTGTATGTCGCTTCGAATTCCGTCATAACTCTGCTTCAGGATGCTTTGGGAAGATTTGAGCATGAAAAATATCAATTTTTGAATAGAGCATGCTTGGGCTCTGATGGGTCAAGATACGAGAGGACATAGTGGCTACCGGTGAGTTAGTGGGTTTGTCTTGGGTACATCAAGATTTAGGTTGTGGAGAGAGGGGAAAGCTAAAAATGACGGAATCGGGTTTGCCTTTCGAATCAAAGTGAATGGAGAAGATGGGTATTCATATGAGCTGGAAGTATGTATGTGTGTTCTTCAGATCTGGGGAAGAAGAACAATTTGGTGGGGGTTTGACTTTCTTTTTATGTGTGTGTGTGAGAGAGATGTGGGACCCTTTATTTTAAATAAATATGTATATATATATATATATATATATATATATATATATATATATATATATATATATATATATATAAGACAAAGTTTCATAAATGGTCCTTATCATAGTAAAATGATGAAAATACCCTTAAGTTAACGGCCAAAAGCTAACGAAGTTAGCAAGAATGACCATTTGTTAAAAGTTTTGAAACCATAGGGACGATCCGTGAGGTTTTTTGAATTTAAGAATTAAACTTGATATTTTCAAAAACACAGGGACCATTTTTAAAGTTTTGTCTTTTATTATTATTATTATTATTATTATTATTATGGTTGCAGAAATTGCTAACTGACTGCTAATTGATGGACTAGCGATTAAGGATTAATCGGTTAGGCGGGCATATTAATCGGAGACCATTAATTATTAAAAAAATTATTAAACAATTTATAAATCTAATTTTAATCCTACAAAAAAGCGATTAATCGGCGATTAGGGCGAGGTCTGATTAGGACCAATTAAACCCGACTTTGACCTGCGTTGACCAAATCCGATTAGTCCCGATTAATTTCAACTTTGACCTGTATTGACGAAACCCGATTATCGTGACAAATTAGCAATAAATCTCATCGGTGGAGGTCTGATTAGCAATTAATCACCGATTAGACCGATTTCTACAACATTGATTATTATTATTATTGGGTTTGCTTTTAAATCTAACCACCACAATCACCCTATGGCCTATACTGATTGTCACCCCCACCACGACTGATCATTACTGATTTTAGAAAAATACAATCACCAACATTACTGATTTCAAAAAATATAACTAACACCACAAACACTGTACATTACTGATTTTAGAAAAATACAATCACCAACATTACTGATTTCAAAAAATATAACCAACACCACATACACTGTACAATGACTCTTGAATCCAACCACCACAATCACCGTATACCACCACTCTTGAATACCACAACGACTGTTGACCAACACCATTACCATTTCAATTTGGATTCACTTGATGATGATCATCCCGTAGCAGTTGCAATGGTGTACGCAATATTATTCCTGAATAAGCTCTCGTTTAGAAGCACTGAGCATATCCCATGATGGAAATTATATATGATGCTCGGTCGTATCGACCGGTAACTAAGATAAGAACAACTAAAAATCTTTAGGGGGAATGTATACTGATTTCTTTATTAATTATTTTGTTAACTAAATAATTAATCTGTTGACGTTGATACCTAATTTCGTATTCAAATATGCTAGGAGTGGTGATTTACTTACCTATTTAGTCCGAGTCAATTAGGGTTCTTTTAACTTAGTTATAAAATTTATTCTTGTTGTTCAGAAAATGAAAAAATAACAAGAAACGGACGAAAATAGTCTTTTTCAAATAATCAATGGAGCTCGATTAGACGGTAACGGAAGGAGACACCAAATATAATCTAAACCTGCAATAAGGACAAGTTTTGACGAACTCAAAAAATTAGGACTAAAACTCCACAATCTTGCCTTAGGGTCATTTCTGTAATTTAATCTCAACTCTTAATGACGTTAACAAAAGATAAAAAAAAATATATATAATAATTAATAATAAAATATCTGGCATATTCTGAACCTCTCAATCCCATCATATTCCACGTGGGCTTTTCTTTTTTCAACACATTATCACAATTCAAATTATACACAATCAAGTATAGAGAAAAGTAGCAAAGACTGAGAAGGGAGAGATTTGCGTACGTAACAGTGAGATTCGGAGAGAGCCATGGAAGCCGAGTGAGCTGCACTGGTGAGACTTAGAGACGGAACAGATAATGAAGACGGTGAGACAAGCACATGAGCCACATAAAGCGACCGTCCAGCGCAGTGACCGGCGGTAGCCGACGATTAGGTGATCAGAGTTTCTTTGATATTATTTTTTATGTTTTAACTTGGACTTGTTCCCTTATTCTTAGGATTTAGTTGTTTGAGACTTGGGTTATAACTCAATAATTGTTATCAAGATCCATTCGTATATCAAGAGAAATTCTGTATATTTAAAATTAAAAAAAGTTTAGATACGAAAAGACAAGCGTTGATTCTGTATATCTAAAATTACTACTTCCAGAGAAAAAAGCTAAATATATACTCTCTTTTACAATTTTTGGCAACCACAGGAAGTTAAGCTAAAAATTGGAGATGGGAGATGGAGATGTAGACGTTATTGTTAAAGCTGTCCAAAATCTTTTTGATTCTGTAAAAAACCCAAGTCTTAGTTTGGGACTATATCGAACATTTATTGACGTGGTCCCCAGTGGGCTCCGTGATCTCAGCCCTACTTCTTTCAACCCTCGGGTGGTTTCTATTGGACCTCTTCACAAAGATGAACAACATCTTCAGCCATTTGATGAGCAGAAAGTGAAGTATGCTCATAAACTATTGTATTCTCCTGATTATTCCCTTCCCAACCAGATGCTAAAAGAATGTGTGGAGAAAGTGGTTGCTAAAACAGACAGAATCAGAGCATGTTATGACAAGATAAAGATGGAAAAATACAATGACACTGAACTTGCCAAAATGATGGTTATCGATGCATGTTTCATACTCGAATACCTTGGAAGATCAGAATTCAATGTTGAAAATAGATCCTTTTGGCGTGGGCAATCTATAGTTTATGACATGGTGCTCGTAGAAAACCAAATCCCTTTCTTTATTCTTCAAGACATCTTTGATAGCACCATTTTGAAATCTGAACCTACAGCCTCACTTACTACCCTTTTGCTTCCACTTGTACAAATTTGTAACATCTTTGAAACAAGCTTAACAGCCAATATCACCCCCCGTTTAAATTTTCAAGATCATATCCTTGGCTTTCTTGAAAATTGTTTCCATCCATCAAGAAACAACTCTCCTTCAGAAGGATTACCAAGTTCAGCAATACACTCGGCTGTAGAACTGGACAGGGCAGGGGTGATCTTTAAACCTAATAATCCAGATGAAACTTGGTCAATGGCTATGGAGTTCAAGTCATGTCCATTAAGCTGCTTCTCATGGTGTTGGGGTAAGCCTACTCTCAGAATCCCGGTATTGCTTATTGACAACTTCACTGAGTTGTTTTTAAGGAACCTCATTGCTTATGAACACTCCTCTTCCTCTTATAAAACACATGGTTATGTTACCTCATATGCTATGGCGATGGATATGCTAGTGGATACAGAAGAAGACATTGCTAAGTTGATAGAATCAAAGGTCGTTCTCAACCATTTAGGCTCAAACGAAAAGGCTGCAGACATGATCAACAGCCTTTGCAAACAACAACCCATACGGATGTTTTGTTACGTTGATCAATGGCAAGATATGGATACCCACTACAACAATTACTGGCCCAAAAATATTGCAGCTTTGAAGCGTACGTATTTTAGTAGTCCATGGAGTATGATTACTCTTGTTGGAGGGATCGCTCTCTTTGTTCTTACAGTGATTCAGACTATCTATGCTGTCCGTGCTAGATAGTGTCAGGGCTTCCTTCACACACTATACATTTGTGCATTGCTACATGTAACACATACCTTAATTTCAATAATAGAAAACCATTTGTACGATGTTGAGAAGTTGCAATATGAAAATAATAATAGATATCATGTAAATTTGTTCTCATGCTGACTAATGTGCTTCAAGAACTTGACAAAGTTCTTTCAACACCATTTACAACGAAGATCAAAATGTGCACGCATTTGAAGGCAACACAAAGTCTTATCTACATGGGCTATTGCGTCATTTAGTTTTCCTCGATCCCGTGATGCTTATCTCCCTTTTCTCTTCTCTTTGCTTTGCAATCCACCTAAAGAAAGCTGCAACACCTATCGCGAATGCACAATGACAGTCAATGGAGTCTGATAGACCACCACCACCACTGCTAAATCTACCCAACTCTCCATCTGCTTCACAAAGTCAAACTCTTGGCTCTAACCAAGAGTGTTTACCATTGCAGAGGAATAATCAGAGATAGGAGATAGGGATAAGGGGGCCCACTAACTTGGATGTGATATAGGGATAAAGGCGCCCATTAACTTGGGCATGGGAAACCCCTAATTAGCGCTTAAAAGATTTAAATGTAAAGCCAATGCAAATGTGAGGGGTTAATGGACACAAAAAACGATTTCGGCACAGGTGAGTTAGAGTTTGGATGTATAAGTTAGGTGTATGGGCCGGTAGCTGGGTAGGTCAATGGCACAATTGAGTTAGGTTTGGATGTATGAGTTAGGTGTATGTGCCGGTTACAGCTGGATAGGTCAGTGGGTCAGGTGAGTTAGGGTTTAGATGTATGAGTTAGGTGTATGGGCTAGTTACTATTGGGTAGGTCAGTGACACAAGTGAATTGGGGTTGGATCTTAAAGTATACATATTATAAATTGCTCATATATATATATATATATATATATATATATATATATATATATATATATATATATATATATATAGAGAGAGAGAGAGAGAGAGAGAAAGAGAGAGAGTCAAGATCAAATAAGAAGGAAAATTTTGGTAAGAAGGTAATAATTTTTTTTTTTCTACATACTTTTTAGCGAACATACAAAATGAATCATTAGATGATTCAAGAGTAAGATGATTCACAAGAAAAAATCCCAAAAAAACATTTCCATGATTCATTTTTAAGTAAATTAAGAAAAAATTGATTTTTATGACAATTTTAGTGAATAACAATAAAATCATCGTATAAATGAATCATCGGTGTGTTTTTTTTGAGATTTTTTTGATGAATCATGTTATTTTTGATTCATCTAGTGATTCATTTCTTTTGTTCGTCAAAAAAGTATGTAGAAAAAAAACTTCTTACCTTCCTACCAAAAAAAATTTCTTACCGGATATATATATATATATATATATATATATATATATATATATATATATATATATATATATATATATATATATATGGGAAGGCTCATGCAGAAAATGCAAATATGATCTGAAAATGAATGTCACAACTCCAAATTCTAGACCTAGCATGGTCTAAACCCTAACCCAGTACTAGTGTAAACTACATGGCAATCCTTGGTGCATTGTATTTCCTATAGCCATTAGGTCATGTTTACAAACTAGTAACTGAGATTAGATTGAAAACTATTATTGAATTAAGCAAGTATAAGTTAATATAAATTGAAAGACTAATATTTAAGCCACAAAATAACCCACCCCTTTGTGTTTTGGCCAATGTAAATAAGGGAAGGGTAGTTCACGGTTCAAAATCATCTAGAAACTAGGTTCACGGTCCAATGAATCCAACCAAAGTAGTGTTCACGGCCTAGAAAAGGAAAAAGTCAATGTGTTCACGGTCCAAGAATGATGCAAGATGTAATTCACAGTTTGAGAAATTGGATCCAAGGTGTTAAGTGTTGGGATTTTAATTCAAAAAGGAGTTTACGATTGGAAAAATCTGAAAACATACCCTTAATGGGCCGAAAACACTAGGCTAGCCTAGTTTAGAATTGTAAACACCAAAGCCCAAGCCTTTTAAGGCCATAAACACCTCTCCATATATATATATATATATATATATATATATATATATATATATATATATATATATATATATTTATATATATATATATATATATATATATATATATATATATATATATATATATATATATATATATATATATATATATATATATGTCGCCGTGAACCAATTCATTTCTCACGTTTGCTTCCGTAAACCCTTCCATTTTGCTCTCAGCTATCATCCGTGAACCTTCGTAAATTCATGAGTTTCCTACCCAGATCTTCATAATCCACCAAGAAATTCAACCAATCTTCAAATCTTCATAAATTCCGAAGAACACACCGTAAACTCATCAAGTTAACCGTAAACCCATTTTTGCCATCCGAAAACTCCATTTCGTCATTTCCAAATAATTCTAATTTAATGATATGTCTTTCTAATAATTAAATTATTATTTAGCACATTATTTAAATTAATTATAATTTAAATACGACATCGAATGCAAATATTTTAGGATAACGTTTCTAGCACATACGCTTAGCGTGGGATAGTCTCTACAACTCGCTAATTCCAGCTAATGCACATTAGAGGTGAGTTCATACCCTCATATTTTTCCAAGATTTTTAATGTTTTGGGGGGGGGGGGGGGGGGGGGAATACAAGTAAAACACCAGTAAAGTTGTGTTTAAAAATATAATTTTGTTTATTATATTTTCTTACCGTTAATATGCATTTGAACGTGAAAGTTGCTAAACACAATAAACATTGTTACTACTAGACTTACGAACAATTTACAAAACATGTTAAGATACAAACTTTACAAGCACAGATTTTAACATGGAAATACACTTATAAACTAAGGAACAAATGTACTACTTTTACAAGGATATATGTTATTAACAAAAAGGGTTTTTCATTGTATTATCCGTGAATTCATTGAGGGAACCAATTCGTGAGACACTTCTTCGAGTACTTATCTAAGTACCAAGGGAAGTCTATCGTTAGAAACCAAAATCTCTTGGAGGGAGAGCGTGAGTTTATGTATAGATCTATACGGGACTGACAATCCCGCGCCCTGACTATTAGCTACAGTTATTCTGGGTGACAAACTCCGTTAACGTTTACGACATCCAAAGTACGTCGTAGGGTTTAACGTATGTTAGTATGGTTATAAGAACTCACATGCATAAAACAATGACTTGTTCACGTAATAATACACTTAACAAAGAGTCACTAGGGTTAATAACTATTTGATTACTTAGTATATACATTAGGGTAATGTGAAATTAATGTCTGACATGCAATAGGATGAGTGACTTCCACCTCATTTCCTGTTCCATGTTTGGTTGTGGGCTTAAGGTAGAATCACCCAATCGACTGTCTGTTCGTTCTAGATTTCTATAACTCGTATGTACTAAGTGATCATAGGAGGGTATTAACATCACTCCCAGTTCACAGAACAAACATGTTTTGGGCTAGTTTTTGATTACTAATAAAGCTACACTTTAACAATTGAAGTATGGGAAAATACTTGTACTTTTCATTTTCGAAACACTAGAGACAACAACTCACTTTTATGCGAAATATAGGATTTTCTAGGACATACATTAGTAGTTTACAAGCAAACGGTTTATCATTCAAGTAACGAATAATCATTGTTAATTCTATAATTCATTAGTTTATTCAGTAAGGTTATGTATGAAGAATATCCGATAGTAAGTGGAATGTGTGGTTTCCGCCTCATTTCCTGTTCCTTGTTTGGTTGTGGGCTAAGGGTAGATCCGCACAATTAAATGTCCATTCAGTCTTGGTTTATATATAGCCAATATGAACTAAGTGGTTATAGAAGGAACTGGTATTATTATAATCTTATTAAGAAAATATAGGATTTTCTTAAGGAACACTTTCATCATATTTCAAAAGACTAATACAGTTAACTCTGTAAATACCTAGTGAATATGTCAGGGTTATATAGATGAGGATCCGGTAGATAGTAGGATGTGTGGTCTCCACCTCATTTCCTGTTCCTTGTTTTATTGTGGTCTTGGGGCAGAACCACATAATCGATTGTCTATTCGATCTAGATTGTATCTGACCTATATACACTAAGTACTCATAGAAGGAACTAGTTCGAGTCATTTTACTTAGCATTCATTACATCAGAAAATATAGGATTTTCTGCAGAAACACATCATTTTTTACAAAGAACAGAGAACTTTTTTCTAAAACAAAATGCTTATGAACTCACCAACTTTAATGTTGACACTTTTTCAAACTAGTTATATTCTCAGGACACTGGTAGACAGGTACACGCCTGGGTTCCTAGAAAACGGAACATAGTAGCTTTAAGTCTTTACTTTGCTATTTACTTTTGGAGTCAGTCATGTATGCTTTGAATACAATGTAAACATTTTAATAACAATACAATGGTTGTTATTGCTTTGATTACTATTATTCAATTGTTGTGATACAATAAATGACACCCTCTGCCACCGAACGTTTCCGCCGTCTCGGTTTGGTGGTGTGACAGATTGATATTAGAGCATTGTTTATAGTGAACTAAGTATATCAACCCATAAAAAGATATACACCTATAAATAGAATGGGGCCAAAGTGCTCTGACTAAAAGTATACTTTTAAAATATAAGTATTTTACAAGAAGTATACAAACAAGCATACATACTAGAACAAGTATCACAAGAATAACAAAACAAAAGTATTTAGATGTTAGACACTACAGTCAAACCTAGGCAGTTATGTAATCATATATGGGATAAATATAGTCTGATCAACTGTATTTATTTGAGATACGACCAACATGTGTTTGGGAGGGATATTGGTGTTGCAACAAGTCTAAAACTTACCAACCCTATATACAAAGGATCTCTAGAACAAAACATAAATTTAAAATACTAATGGAGTATTTTATGGTACTATAAGATAACAACAAGTCTGAAAACTTACCAAGTCCATCCATATACTAAGAAACT